ACTAGTAAATCGCAAACACCGTAACAGGACACCTGGAACACTGTGACCAGGCCTTCCACAAAGGGAAGTAAAGAGGAAAGCTAAGGTTCGTTCTTCAAACCTTCTCCTCCCTCAAGCAGCAGCATCGCACCACCACACCTTCATGGCCCCACATTTATACAAAGGAACTCCAAATCCATGATCGCCACTCGTTCAGGAGCCGTGAGTGATGAAGCAAGGGACTCACAGGCCGCTGCAGAGCTCGCTGTATCAGATCACCACTACTGCTTCCAACGGCAAACAAAGCTCCATACCACTTGAAGGAAGGAGTGAGAGGACACAGATGTGACTGGTAATGCGCGGATGACCGCCTGCTTTCTAGTATCAAGTCAACAGTACCTACACTTTGAATATTTGTTAAAAAACAACTTCGTACAGGCTGGAGAAATGCTTTTAAGAAATGCTCTCAAAATTAAACTCCTGCCTTTTAAAACACTTTCCATTACACATTTAATAACAAGCATATACAAACTTCAAGAAAAAAAAACTAAAAAGGTAGCAAGTCAGGGCCAGGGGAGCCCATAAGTTCATCAACTGGCTTGTTCACTAGAACTGGGAGAAAATAAAAAAAGGAATAAAGAGAGATGATGTCGCATTGCTAATATACACAGTGTCTGTCAGCCATCTCTGTCCAAGCCCAAGGCTTTATGTGCTTGAGGAAAAGCTACCGAGTAATTTAAAAAACAAACAAAAAACCCCAAAAATAGGTTTACCCAGAAATGAAATTAAGAAAATAATTCTATTCACAAGAGCATCAAAAATAATAAAATACTCAGGAATATATTTAAGTGCAAAACTTACACCCTGAAAACTACAAAATGTTGTTGATAGAAAAAATATCTCAATAAATGGAAAAACATCCCAAGCTCATAGGTCAATGGCTTAACATCGTTAAGATGGCAAAGCTACCCTGTAAACTGATCTACAGATGCACCAAAATCCCTATCAGAATCCCAGCTGACTTCTTTGCAGAATTTGACAAGCTGATTCCAAAATTCGTGTGAAATTGCAAAGGACCCAGAACAGCCAAAACAATTCTGAAAAAGAAAAAAGTAGAAGGATTCACACTTCTTGATTTCAAAGCTTCCTACAAAGCAATGTAATCAAGCGCGGCACTGGCATAACCACAGATCTATGGACAAACGGAACAGAACTTCAAGTCCAGAGATACCCTCATACATCTACAGTCAACTGAGTTTTACCAAGGGTGCAAAAATCATTCAACAGGAGAAAGAATAGTCTTTTCAAAAAATGGTGATCAGACAACTGATTGCCACGTGAAAAAGAGAGAAGTTGGACTCTGATACCACAACAGAAACCAAAAATCAACTCAAAATGTATCAAAGGTTCAAATGTAAAAGCTGAAGACCTACACATAAGAGCTAAAACTTTAAGATTCTTGGAAGAAAACACGGGGTAAATCTTCGTAACTTGGGTTTGACAAGGGCTTATTATATACGACAGCAAAAGCATGAGCAATGAAAGAAAAAACAGGTAAGTTGGACTTCACCAAAATTAAAAACTTCAGTGCTTCAAAGAATACCATCGAGAAGGTGAAAAGACCACCCACAAAATAAGAGGAAGTGTCTGCAAGTCACGTCTCTGGCAAGACTTGTCCCTAGAATGTCGACTCTTACAACTCAGCAGAAAGACAACCCGACTGAAAAACGGGCAAAGGAGACGAGCAGACATTTCTCCAACGATGCATAAATGGCCACAAACATGAAGATACCTGGCATCTTCAGTCATCAAAAAACTGAAAACCAAAACCACAGTGAGACAGCACTTCACTACCACTAGGATGGCTCGCATCAAAAAGTCAAGTAACAGTAAGCGGGGGTGAAGACGCGGAGAACTCAGAACGCTCAGACACCGCTGCTGAGGATGTGTAACGGTGCAGTGACTGTGCAGCTCCGCCTGGCAGGTCCCTAAATGCTTCAGCATAGAGTGACCGCCGTGCCCCATCATCTCCACTCCCAGGCATGTACCTGAGAGAACTGGAAACAAGTGTCCACTCAGAAACGTCTACACAAATGTTTATGGCAGCATTTTTTGTAAGAACCAGAAGGTGGAGAAAAATCAAATGTCCATCAAAAGAGGAATGAATAAGTAACAGTAAAACTATACAAAGGAAGTGCATTTCACCATAAAAAGCAATGGAGTACTGACACAAGCTACAACGTGCATGAGCCTTGAAAACACTACGCTGAATGAAAGAAGCTGGTCACAAAGGACCTCACATCACATACTCCATTCATATGTCCGAAGTCCAGACCAGGGAAAGTAAATTATTCTTAGCAAAAGGGTAAAAAAATCTCACAACCTATGCTTGGTGCCTGACTGAAAGAATAATCACTCACTTATCCCCAATAATTAAAAATTTTAAATGTACCTGCATAAGAGTTAATCAAATATCTTATTCTAAAATTCAAATTCCTCTTGAATTATCAAAAATTAAAGTTGTCAATCTATACTTACTAGAATCCGGCATAATGCGAAGGTCGCCTTCTTTATAATCATCTAAGAGCTGGTACATGTATAAGACAGGGTCTTTCTCGTAGGTGATGTAAAACCATGTGTTCATTATAGGGGCGCGTGCTAAGACCATCCCCCGCCATTCGTCTTTAGAGCCATCCTCGGTTTCAAACATGTGCTCCACTGCTTTGCCAATCATTGTGTCGGCTAGGTGTGCATCACTGATTCGAGATGTTGCTGGGGACAAAAAAGCAAACAGTGGTTTACAAAGGGTTTTACTAAGCATGTACTGTAAAGACTCACTTATTTACTCAAGCAAACAATTCTGAAAAACATTAGCAGGCATCAGAATCACCTGGAGGGCTTTGAGAAGGACAACTGCCGAACTCACTAATGTCAGTCCAGCCCAGACTAGACTCCATACAGCTCTCCTGTCCCAAGTCAGTTACAGAGATCGCCTGCTTTCTTTATATTTCTCTGAACTCGTCTGCTTTTGATACTGTATCTATGTTAAAACTTTTATTTATTCAAGGTATAAAGTGGGCTGTCACCGTTTAACAGTTAATTACTCTAAATTTTGAGATAATTATAGACTAACACAAGAGTTCCAAAAACAGTATTGTTCCCATATACCCTTTACCCACCTTCCCTTTATAATAATATCTTATATTAGCCATAACCATAGACCAATTTTAAAAACTAAGATACTAACCTATTTAAGGCACAGGTTTTTCCTCTTGCCCCTACAGTCTACTTTCCACAGTAATCAGAGTGATCTTTGTGACACTTATACCAGACTGTGTGGTCATTTGCTTAAAATACACCTTCCTTTCATAATCCGAGTAAAAAGCCGTTTCTCCCAACCCGCAGCGTCCGAGCCGCCATGTCCTGCTGGCCCTCTGCCCCGTCCTGTCACCTTCCTCCTGACCGCTACACCTCAGCAACACGGACATCTCCTCCTGGGATGCACTCGGGCTGAGCACAGCCCCCACATCCTCAGGGGCTGGCTCCTCCTGGGCAGGAGCCCTCCCAGAGGCTCTCCAGGACCACCCCGTGAAAACTGCTCCACCAATCACAGTCACCTCACCCAGTTTTATTTCCTAGTAACATCAACCATTGTCTGCAGTTATCTTGTTTTACGTGTTTGTTTTTGCTTTTAGCCTGCACAGTAATGAAGGCTGAGGTCTTTCCCATCTTGTGGCCAATACTGAGATCACAGGGGTTCAGTATTTGTTGTATAAATTAATTATTTCAGAGGAGAGCAGGATGTTCTAGACGGCCTGTGTGGTTAGGAGCGTAGGCTGCCCCACTGGTCTATCAATAGCCTTCTGCAGTCCTCTAGTGAGCTAGGTGAAAAATTACATGCTTCATTAAAAAAAACACTAGGAAAACTACAGAGGGTCCTACCGATTTTACGGTTCCTCTAGTCGTCACGTTTTAGACAATTATCTTAAAAAAGCTTAATGCTTCCGTCTTACTTATTCATGAGTACTTTCTATTTTTGTCAAACTTAAAAGGAACAAAGATTAGAATTTCTTGGTAAAGATACTGCTATCCAATTTTATCAGACAACTCTGAATACATATGGTGGTTTTCTTCACTGAAGTACACAACAATTAGCAAAAATAACACAGAATTCCCCACTGTGCATGGCCCTAAAGCAAAATCCCACTAGTTTCTTCACACCAGAAGTTCTCAAACTTTTTGATCTCAGGACTCTTTTACATCCTCAAATTTTTTTCAGGATCTAAAAGAGCGCTTGTTTGTATGAACGATAAATGTCTGTATTAACTATTTTAGAAATTATAAATGACAAATCTAAAAATACATAAACATTTAAAGATATACCTACATAAACATTTTTAATGAAAACTAAGTATATTTTCCAACAAAAATTTAGTGAAAAGAGTGGCATAATTTTACATCTTTTTAAACCTTTAAACGTCTAGATTTTAAAAAAAGACAGCAAGATCCTCAGTTCTGTTTCAGCACTTCAATCTGCTGTACGTACTTCTGGCTGATGTATACAATCACTACGATCTCCTGCTGAAAAGAGGACTATTTTATTATTAGTCTTCTCAGGTAAATTTAGGTTTTCTTCTCTGGTACTGTACCAAAACTCAAAAGTGGAAGCTTTCCTTAAAGGTTAATTGCAATGTAGAATATGAAATGGTTATCAATAAACTCCTATCATACTATTAAATTAAAACTCATTTGTCTCCAGAATGCGTTAAGGACTCTTACAACTCTACAACAAAACGAAACAAAAACAATCACATAACCCAATCAAAAGTGGGCAAAGGACCTGAATAGATACGTCTCTGCAAAGATGACACCAATGGCCAAAAAGATGTGTAACATCACTCATCAATCAGAGAAATGCAAATCAAAACCAACACAAAATAACAAACGTTGGTAAGGACGTGGAGAGGCTGGAGCGTCTGTGCACTACTGGTGGGATGTGAAACGTTACAAACACCATGGAAAACAATATGGGCTCCTCAGAAAACTAAACACAGATCTACCATCTGACCCAGCAACTTCACTCCTGGGGACAGACCCAAAAGAGCTGAAAGCAGGGTCTAAAGAGACATCTGTACACCCAGCGTCCACAGCGGCACTGTTCACAAGAGCCAAAAGGTGGGAGGAACCCCTGTGCCCAACAAGACAGCTGGGTAAACAAGATGTGGTGCACACATGCAGTGAAGCATCAGGCAGCCTTAGAAAGGGAAGAAATCCTGTCACATGCTGCAACATGGATGAACCTTGAGGACACTATGCTAAGGGAAAGAAACTAGTCACCAAAAGACACATACTCCATGGCTCTACTTATGAGGCACCGGAAGGAATCCAATTCCTAAACACAGAATGCTGGGTGCGTGGGTGCCAGGAGCTGAAGGCGGGAAGGGGCAGCTGTTCAATGGGGATGGAATTACAGATTCTCACGATGGAAAAAGGTATGGAAATTGATTCCATAACAATGTGAATATACTTAACACTACTGAACTGTACACTTAAAAATAATTATGGTAGTAAATTTAGTGTTTTGTGTTTTTACCACAACAAAACAAAACTATCTGTTGATCTTTGAATGGATCTTTTACCAACACATAATTTGGCAATATCATGCATTATTCATACAGAGAATATTATGTTCATTGAGTTCTGCTGATCTTCCAAATAGTGGGAACTCCACTTTTTAACTGAGAAAGAATGAAGGTGAAAAGGGCAGATTATATCTTAACATTATTATGGAAATTAATTTTGACCTCACAAGCCTCCTGAAGGGGCTTCAGCGAACCTCAAGGGTCCACAGATTCCACTCTGGGAATCAGAACCCTGTGCCATCACAGGCTTTTGACTTGGCTTTTCTCTCTACCTTTAGCTTAAGGAAAACAAAACTAACTTCAGTCTAAGGTACTGCCTGAAGCAAATGAAGAAAAGACTGTTTTCTTGCTACACGGAACATAAATGAAGGTCAAGTAATTTTTCAGACCAGGTTTCTTCGGGAATACTACAGTTACCTGTTAATTAAGTTAGGCGTGTGACGTACTGCTGGTCTGCACAGAGGCGTCTGGATTTTTTTTAAATTGCTCTTTGTTTCACAAAAGCAATCCATGTCTCATGCTGGAAACTGAGATGGCCCAGGACTTGAGAGAAAAATCCTTCAATCCCGTCACCAGAGATATGTACGTATTTTTGGGTATTTTGTTTGGTCAAGTCACTTTTTTATCAAAAACAAAAAACAAAAAACCTCTGTTCTATGATTACAAAACAGCGGACCAACACAGGTCATGCAGCAAGACACCGGACGTTTCAAACGACCCGGGGTCTGGCCCTTGGAGGGTGAGAACCGAAACTCTGGGTCAGAAGAGAACGCACGAAAATGACTGCGTACAAATAACTGATACAAAGGTGTGGGTAATATTTTTTAAGTCCTGAAGGTATCACCAAGGACAAACTTGTTCTGCTCGCCGCACGGCAGGCAGGCCAATAAATCGGGAGACGAGGTGCTGGGGGGCAAGGAACAGCGATTCTAACAGAGAGGACGGCAGACTAACATCTTGGAGAACCATCCTCCTCAAGTCACAATACAGGGTCCTTGTATAATGAAAAAGGGGGGAGGGGTGTGGTTGGCTGGTGCAAACTTCTTGCTGCAGGAATCCTTTGTTCCTGGGCCAGGTCATGGTGCTCCCGTAAAACCTCCAACCAACCAAAGGCTACCCTCTATTCTGCAACTTGTTATCTTTATGTGAGTGCAGAGTGTTAATATCCCTAAGGGTCAGAGTCTTGAGAACAGGCTCTGTTTACCAGACAGGCTGAAGGCAGCATTCCTTTACAAAAGGTGCAGAGCCAGCAAGAATAAACCCAGAAAAAGGGCCCAGTGGTTAAAACCAAAGCAACAGATCCAATATTGAGTCAGATCTGCTCTCCTCTGTGACAAAGGTTAAGACTCTCCAGTGTTGGTCTCTTGTGTGGGAAACGGACTGGTATCAAGACTGAGAGGAAAGAAGATGCGACTCGTGAGGACGGATGAGGTGTTCAGTTGCACTTAAATAGACGGAAATGTTCAAAATGCCCAAAATTTACTAGTACACAATTAGTTACCTTTGGTAAAATTAAAGATTTAATTAAAAGCAAGAGTCCTGTGAAAACTGAACTATATACACACAGGACGAAGACAGACAGCATCTGTTATTAAAGGGAAGATTAAAAAGTAACTTGCTGCTCTGGCAAAGAATTACTGTGCCAGGGAAGTGTGTTCCAAGAACACGACGGCAAACGCAAAGGGGCAGAAGAGGAGGGGTAAGCGGCTTCCTTTCACAATTTGGTCCTAACTTCTATCTTCCAAGTCTGGATTTGCTGAGGCTGTATTTGCAAATATATAGGCTTTTAAGAACAATTCCAGAAGCATAAACCAGTATTCAAGCAACAGTAGCATTAATCATAATGATAATAATGATAAATAATAAATAATAATAATAATAAAAACATTTCAAAGTAAATACTCAGAAGAAAGTAACATTAAATCTTAAAAGTAAAAAATCTTATTCTTAAAATAGAATCAGCCATTATTACTTAACTGATACCTTATGCTTTAAGGAAACTAAGTTATGCAAAACTGATTTGTATGACATTTAAAAAGCCATTCATTTCCCACAAACCTTGTATAAACAAGTCTTTAAAAATGTAGTATAATAAAGCTCACGTTTTGGTTGCTTAAACTTTGGCTGAAATAATTATGTCATAATACACGATGAAAGATATACTTCATATAGAGATTCTAAAATAAATGTATGGAATTTCTCTTAGCTGTTATAATGCATTGAATATCTGAGCTAATGAGAAACAGTCTTACCCATCAGAATCCAGAAAAATAGTGAGCACAATGTGGGAAATAATCACGTTAGAAATGATCAGACTGTAAACTTCTGGGGAACGATTTTGTCCATCTTTATACTCCTCCTAGTTCCTTGAGCCGTAGTTTTAAAACACCTGCTGGTCAGTTTTTGTGGGTTTAGGTGACAGATTTAAATGTGTATCAGAAGCACTAATGCTCCACTCCAATAAAAATAAAAATACCAGTAATGCAAAAGCATAATCAAAAAGCATCCATTTCAATAATCACTTTAAAAGCATATAGTAAAGAGAACTTACCAACTCTATCAGGGAGGACTTCAAGCGCAGAAACTCTTTCATCTTTATTAAGTTCTAGTCCATAAACACAGTCAAATCCATCGTATTTTATAAGATACAAAGAAGGATTTACAGGCACCTGGTCCAGAACGGTTCCTTTCCACTGGGTGACAGGGCCATTCCCCTCTTTCCACCCATGCTGAATCCTGCAGCCTACGATGTTCCTCCGGGGCTGGGAAACAGGTTTGCTCGGCCCCACACTGCTCCGATGTTTTCTGTATTCACACATATACACACGTAAGGTATCATCTCAAAAGCATGCACTCCTAGACCCAATACAACTACTGCTGGCGCGCATGCTCCCGCCACAGATGACCCCGTCCTGCGCTGGCTGAGGCCGCCGCGCTCTGGGCTCAGCGCGCTCCAGGGGCCACCTCCCAGTCCCACAGCCGGGTGGTGGGGGCGCACGGGGGGCCTTCTCTAGCAATAGGGGCTTTCCTGTGCACCCTAACTGTGGATAGGTAGGAAAAAATTAGGCAGTAGCAACTTAGGCCCTAAAATTAAGCAACATTTTTTCAGCTTTCTGAGTTTCCTTTAATTTGAATCAACTCACAATTATCCAAATTAACCCCAAAAAAGACAAGGACTGGCTACATCATTACACATGCACATGGCTCTATAAAATACGGATCCATTTCTCATCAAAAGAAATGGGTAACTGTGTGAGTTCACCCATTCTAATATGCACGTAATTCTGCCCCCACTGGCTTAAATAATAAGAATAAACTAGACATTTAACTCTTCCTTAACCTGGACTCCAGGCTGGCTTATACGCATGCATTCATTATACCATCATTACTTCTTTAGAAAACATATAATCTTAAACACTTAAATTTGCGATATATATATATACTTAATGTAATTTTTACTGGAGCAACACCAAACTAGAACTCTTTCTCAATTACAAACAACTGGAAAACCTACACACAGTGTTTACAAATAATACCCCTGGCCCTTGAAATCAGGAAAGCAAACCTTCGTTTCACGCAGAAACCCAAAGACTAAGGGCAAGACTTGGCTTGAGCGCGGGCTGAAGGCCAAAGCCAGCTGGCACGGGTTGTGGACGCCGCTATACGCCAAGAAGGAAGAAACTTAGGAAGCAGACAAGAACCCACGCTCGCACGTCTGTGGATGTGAAGCTCTCACCTGGTGCACCCCGAGTGAAAGCGGGAAACCAACAGCCCAAACACAGAGAAAGTCACAAGAAAAAAAACAAGCCATTTACTGCAGGCCGTGATACTCAGAGCCACAAGTGCATGTACTGGAAATAGGCCAGCTCAGTAAACATAGTGGGCCCGTGAAACAGAGAAACAGGCTGCAAGTGGTTAAAGCTGCCTCGGTGAGGCCTAGATCAGCTGGCAAAGCCCACTGCCTAAGCAGGACAGGGAATGCAATTTGGAGAACAGCCCAGAAGGAAAACTTCCCCAGCCAGACTGGAAGAGGGTTCATGAGGTTATACGAGGACTGCCAGACCAGAAAACTCCGGGTCTGCCCCAGCCCTTGAGGCTCTGCAAACACCCAACCGAACGGTCTTCCAGGAGGGCAAAGCCTCGCACCGAGGATACGTGCTGAGAGTGACACCGTGAGCAGGGCGGGGCCACAGGTACAGGAAAGATGAGGCTCAGGTGCTTACGGGGCAGGGCCCAAAGAGAGCAGACCTCAGAACGGTTCACAGAGGAGCCCGCGCAGAAAAGCTGTTACTGCTAAGCGCGCCACGGGAAGACAGGACGGCTTAGAGCCCAGCCGTCCTGGAACAGGCTCACCGTCCTCACGAGCAGGAGTCTCAGGAGAGACTCGGGGTAGCACTGTGGGCAGTGGAGGCAGACCCCAAAAACATAGCCAAGAAGTAGGTGGAAACTATCACCTAACGCTACGTACACAGCAGGGGCCGTGAGAGAGAGACTTACACCGGAAAGAGAAGAGCCCAGACGTGACAGGACAGCGACAGCAGCAGCAGCAGCAGCAGCAGCCAGGGGCAAGCAACTTCAAACCTCTCAGAAGTGAAGACTACACTAGAGGAACGTTTAAGAAACTGACCCTGTGGGGCATGCAAGGGAAACGGACGATGAAGCAAGGAGACAGATGGGGAAAGAGGAAATTCCAACTTCTGTGTAACAGAATAACCCAAAAATTAAAGTCAGAGGAACAGGAAGAATACTAAAATAATTCAGGAAAAACACACTGAAATAAAAGACTTAAAGGTACAAGCGCACCCCTGGGAAAATGACCCAGCACTACTGACACTGAGACATTCTAGTGAAACAAACGGGCTTTAAAGAAAACAGCATCTCCCAGGCATCCAAGTGGAAGACCACATCACGCGGAAGGAGGAGAAAGTCACAGTGTGACAGTGCCACCATGCCACCAGGCAGCGGAGCGCCCACCGAGGTTCTCAGGGAAGAGGGTGTGAGCCAAGGGTTATCATCAGTCAAGAATTCCACCCTGACCTCCAAGCGAAAGGACACAGACGGAACTGCAAACACGTAAGAACTCGGGGTACTGTTCTCACACGTGCTTTCTGAAGAAGGTAACAGTCAGCATCCACACCCACGGGTTCCACATCTTCAGACTGAACCGACCAACAGTGGATAGAAATATTTCAGGAAGTTCCAAAAGCAAAATCTGAATTTGCGGCAGGCAGGCGACCACTTACGTGTCATTTACACTGTATTTACAACTATACACAGTAACTAGACTGCATCAGGTATTACGACTAATCTACAGATGCTTTAAAGCGTATGGGAGGATGCGCTGGGGCGATGCACAAATGCTACGCCATTTTATAGAAGGGACTTGAGCATCCTCAGATTTTGGTCTTGGGGGGGTCCTGGAACCAGCCCCCCTCGGATACCAAGGGATGACTGTACAGGATAATTTCAGATAATCAAGGAACGCTTGGAGAAATTTCAGCACAGGACCGACAGTAAGGAATGAGGATTTCTTGGTGCAGAACAAACACGGGGACAAGAGAAATAGAACAGTGTGCATCTGCTATCTGCTCTGACAACGGAGTTCTACCACCACTCCGAAAAGGGTGAGGAAAGAATACGTGAAGTACAAGAACTCACTGAACAAACAGCATTACTTAGAACCACCTTACATCAGACAGAAAGAAAGGGGAGAACAAGAGCTGAATTCCATCCTGTTCACAGCAAGGAACTAACTCCTAACAACAGAAAACAAGTAAATTAGAATCAATTAATTTAAAAAGACTGCAAAGTAAAACTTAGTGGAGAGAAAAAAGACTGTCAACTTGAAAACTATTAAACGATACTCAAATCCGAAAGGAAGTGAACCTCACGACCGCTCCGTAACTCCTGAGAACATGCCCATCACGCTGACTGGCCTCTGTGGGGATCGACTGTGACGGTGGTTACGTTTCTCCTTCAGCATCTGGGAGTCTTCCCAGCATGACGTTTTCCTTCAACCAGACAACTGCCCATCTTCCTTTGATCTTTACACAAAAGTCCCTGTGATTCACCCTGTGTACAGGACTAGGCGTTCTTCACAGCAAAGGCAGAGAGGTTGGTTCCCAAAACTCACTGAAGGAGGAATTCAGTCAGATGCACCATTTTGTGATTCACACAGACATCCCATCATTACTGCCAAAATTATAAGCAAATACAGCATCTTCACCAGTGTGGTGGTGAATTTTAATGCGCCAACCTGGCTGGGCCTCAGTGCTCGGGCAGCCGGTCAGACAGCAGGTGTTTTGTGTGGTGGCATCTTTCTACGTGAAGTTAACATGTGTCAACGGCCTGTCCTCAGTAGTGCAGCTGGGCCTCATCCAACCAGCCGAAGGTGTCAGAGAACGTGCTCTCCTCCCAGGGAGAGGGAGTTCCACCTCCCTCTGCGCACACACCACTGGTGCTGGTTCTCTGGAAACCACCGACTACAAACATAAGCGGTCCTAAATCTAGGTTCAGAGGCATGGCATTTTCCGCTGCCATGATTCTCAACAAAACCAATACACACTTAGCCAAAACAGCAAACAAGGGCACCTGGCAGCCTCAGGGCAGCGGTTCTCCAGTTCAGTCGCTCGTCCCTCACACTCAGCAGTGGCATTCTCCTGGGACCTGCAGTCGCTTCTGAAGGAGACGCGCAATGCTCCCTTTACTCACCACCTTTGAAAACAAGCAGTTTTCATCCTGGTCACCTCCAGCGGTAGCGCCCGAGGCTCTCCTTCCTCTTCTTCTGAACTTTACAAGGGACTCAAACCTGTCCAGCAAGGATCCATGTTCAAAGTGGCTCCTGTATCCTTCAGTTCTAAGGAAACATGATCCTTCTTTTTTGCATGAATTTTAACTCCCTATTTTCTTTAAGGGAGTTTTAATCATTAACTCTTGCGGTGGTAAATGATATGCCTGGTCTGTTGTAACATTCTGCTATGTGTTTGTTTGCAATGCTTCGTTTTCTTCACCCCTTTCTTTTGCTTAAACAGCTCGGATGAGTGAGGTTTCTTTGCATCAAACAAATCTTCTAATGGAAGCTATAGGTCTTATTTCTAGTCTTAGAGCTTTCTAAATATTCTACCTAAACTTACATCTTCCTATTAAAGTCTACAATTAATCAAAACCTATACTTTCTCTTTCCCAGCCCAAGCAAGGCTAAAAATAAACAAAAGTTCTTAGTAAAAGAAGAAAAGCATTTTTAAAAACAAACACCTTAGCACACTGAGTAGCCCCGCCTCCTTCCCGGCCACCTTTCATCACAATGATGAAATTTAGTCTTTGCTCCAAATTGCTAGTTTTCATCTTGCTACTATCCTAAAAAACATTTTTTTCAGCAGTGCTTATTTAGAAGTAAGCAAGGAAGGATTTTTGTTGTTTTCTGCAACATTTTCATTTTTGTTTTCCTCACGTGTATTTCGCCTTTCCAGATGTATCCTCTGGTGAGTCAGAGAGGGTTCATAAACGCAAACTCTAAATTCTGCAAGTCTCAGATTTTTTAACTTTTGTTTTCATCCTTGAACTGCCTAGCTATACTGGGCAGGCTCAGAGCCTCTTCTCTCCTCAGTACTTTTATTAGAAAAGGTATTTTCACTGTCTTCCGTCTTCCAGGGAAACGTACCAGACGGCAGTCTGACCCTTGCTCCTGGAGGGCACCTGTCTTCCTCTTCATGTTGCTTTTAGAGCGTTCTCTGTTCTTAGACTCTGAAATGTCACCGGGACTTGTGACACATGTTTCTAGCACTTGGTCAATCTAAAGGACGCTG